CTTCTTTTTTGTCTTAGATTCTGTTTTACAGTCAAATTTTCGCGTTATTCCGATAATTGTTTAACAGTTTAACTGAACATAGACGACAGGTTTAAGAAAATAAAAAGAAAGAAAAAAAAAAAGAATATTTTTTTTTTTGTTTGCTTTTTAAAAACATTCACTTACCATTATTTTTAAGCAAACGAAAAATACGTGAAAGAAAATGCTTTCGCTTCATATAGAACAGATATGAAATAACAGACAGTGCAAAAAGGATTGGTAGAAGTGCACTTAATCCAATCCACCAAATTTCTCGTCTAAAACGATTTCCTGAAATTAATTTCAATTAAAAAAGTGCTGAAGAAGAAGAGGAATAAGATTAGAACATTCGCCTATCAAACAACAACACCACCAACACTGACAATCAAAACCAAATTATTGTTCAGGTTCTTTTCTTTTTTTTTTTTTTCCTTTCTTTCTTTTTGAGCTTTACAAATTTTTGTATTATTTTGTTTTCTTTGTGTTGCATAAATCATTGAACAAACATTTTGCAGCTAAACAAATTGCCAATAACAGCACATCAAAGATTGGTTCAAAAAAAAAAAAAAATGAGATGAAAAACCATAGCAAACGGTGTCTAAAAGCTGTTTAAAATCTTGAAAAAATCGTTTAATACATCAAAAATCAGATGCATTTTTTCTTTCCATTTCTTTTTTTCCACTTTTTTTTTCCTTTTTTTTTTAATTTCCTCTCCATCTTAAAAAAAATTCATATTGTAAGAAAAGTCAAAAATTATGCTAAACGCTGTTTATTCTTTGATACATATGAACAACGGAATTTTAAAGATAATATCGATAATAGCAGAAGAAAAAACGCTTATATACATATAAATAAAAAAACCATTATTAAATCTGACTAATATTGGCTGCTCATTCTTTTTAATGGTAATAAATCAGCAGCATAGTGTGCCCAAAAAGTTTATCAACAAAATTTATAATTTTATACTTAGTAACTTCTTGCTTTTTTTTTTTTT